TTGTAAAGAATTTTGTCAACATTTTTTTAAATAATAGAATTATTAAAAGAATTTGATTTAAATTTTTCGAAATAATTGAATTTCTCAGACTATTATTTTCAATTGTCTTTATATATTTGAATTTTTTCGAGAAACTTCATTAAAAAATTTTAAATAATTGAATTATTGATGCGAAGAAATTTTTAAAAGAAATTGGTAAGTAATAATTGAATTTTGGAGAAAAATTTTATTATTTATAAAGATAATTGAAATTTTGACGAGAATTTAAAAAAAATTTTGAACATAATTGAATTTATGCGAAGTTATTTAAAAAGAAATTATTGTGAAAAATAGAAAAAATTGAAGGGTTTGTGTTAGAATTCTTGGCAATTTCATAGTTTATGCAGCAAACAAAAAAGACACCAAAATTCAGAATTTTCCTACAAATTCTAAAAATTTAATATTTTCCAGTACTTTTAGTAAAAATCCCTGACTTTTCCCTGACTTGTGGCAACTACACATATAAATGTCTTGGAAAAATAAGAAATCTGTCCTGGAATGTCCTGAAAATGTCCTGGAATTTTAAGTCATATTTTCAGTAGACACCCTGAATCGGCAACAATTTAATCCTTCTAGGATTAAATTGACACCACAAAGGATTAAAATAAGCCATTTTAGTGTTATTTTTGTTTAAAACTAAAATTTTTCTTTAAATCAAACACCAAGTCAACGATTTGTCAAAATTCGACGAATTTAGCTTCACCAGAGCTATAAATTTACTTATCAAATTTATAGACATTTCATTTTTTTTTTTTGCGTTCCAGTGATAATAATATTATAAACTTTTAGAATTTTAATGACTTTAACTTCAAAAAATAGAAAATTTAACTTTTTACTACTTTAAAATTTTTCTTCAAAAACTTGACTCTTCTTGGAGTTTTGTATAATTTTAATAAATAATTGTTTTAAAAAAGACAAAATTTTAGTCTGCATTATTTAGCTTTATTTGTAAAGGGCTTTTTATGCCCGTCTGAATTTCTACTTTATCAGAATTTTTATTTAATCAAATATTGTCATTTTTCAAAATATCCAGTTAATTCATGAAAATTGTAGATAAAAATTGAATTATTATTTAACCAATTTTTAAACAAATTATTGATGTTATTTACTAACTTTTTACTGAGTGCACCTAGAAAGTTTCAGTTTTTCCCTAATTTTGCAATTTACTAAATTCTTTATGATTGCAGAAAAAGAATAAAAAAGAATGCTAAATATATAATTTTTCGCAAATTTTGTGTTTTCTGTTTTAATTTTTGGAACTTTTGACCATATTTTCCATCTCATCAAAATAAAAAAACGCTATTTTCTTCTTTATAACAAAAAACGTAATATTTGTAAATAAATTAAAATGGTGTCTTATAGAGTTAATCAAAAACCTACAAATATAATATTTTTGAAGACATACAACAGTGGAATCTTTTGAATGCAAGCGCTGTCATAAAAAAGAAATAATTTACTTATCAAAATTTTAAACATTACATTTCTTTTTTTCATTCCAGTGATAATAATATTGGAAATTTTCAGAAAACACGTGTATTGATTTTGAGAAATTGAATAATATTTTACTTTTAACTGCTTTAAAATTTTTCTTTAAAAAATTAACTCTTTTCGATATTTTTTTATAATTTTAATTAATAATCATTCAAAAAATTTTTTAAACATGTCTTTTCCACGGTTTTGGTGTTTGAAAATAATTGTTAGGTTATAGCAGTATTTTCTCATTAGCACTTAGACAGAAGATATGTCCAATTAAATTAAAATTGAAATTAAATTAAAATTAACTTGAATTTCTACTTGACAGAATTTCTATTTACTCAAATTTAAAATCAATCAAAATATTTTTAAAGTATAAAATTAATTTTTAAAAATTATGACAAAATTTATTTTGTATATAAAATATGATCAGTGAATTTTCAATTAATGTTTTCTCATATTTTCATCGGAAATTTAATAAAAAAGCAAAGAAATCCAGAAAAAAACTTTAACGAAATAACAAAGCTATCATCGAACTAGTGTTTAAAAATTTAAATAATAAAAATTTCGTTTTAATTTTAATATTGGAGAACTTCATTGTATATTATTATTAATTGGGCGCAGAAAAAAATTTTTGCAATGTGATTCGTATAAAAATAGAAAGAATATTAAAAACGAGAAACATGTTTTCTTTTTGGATTTTTTTTGAATCTAGTAAAGGCTTTGAAAAAACTTGAAATTTCCATTTCTTAAAAATTAAAATTTTTTTTATTCTCTCCCAATACGTGGGACCCTGATAATTTTTTATGGAATATGATCATTTTACATTTAGAAGCCAGAAAAAAATTGAAAGAAAAAAAGACGCTGGGGTTTTTGAGAAAATTAGATTTTTATTTTTTCAGAAAAATCGCCGCCATTTTGTTAAATTTCAACATATTTTAATTTGACTTATGAGTTTTACAAGATCATATAAGCTACGATTAAGAACAAAAAAGAATTATTTTATTATAGATAAAAGGGAAAAAGATAAGACAATTTAAACAGAAATTTTGTGATACGTGTCAAAATTGTTTTTTATTGTAAATGTACATATATATTTTTTAGTTGCAAGTATTAAATGCAGTAAATAGAAAGGTATAGAACAATATTTATTTTTGTTTATTAATAATATTTTTACGCATTATTACACCAGAGTTTTCTGGGTCTTTGATTATCAGCTTTATATATTTTCTTTAAATTCAAAATTTTAAAGCAGTAAATGTGCATGAAATAAAATGAAAATTTTTTTTAATAAATACAGAGTGGCACAAATTTTAGAATTTAAAAATATATTTTGTTTACAATTTTTTATTGACAATATTAATTACATGTCTCATTAATGATAAATACTGCTCACAATTCTTAATTGATTAAAATTTTTTTCTAATACTCTGCATTAAATTCCGAACAAACGTAAGGCCCGAGCAGAAATTTTAATCGCGGCATTGTAAGTATTAGTTCTTATTTGTTCAACTATTGTCATTGCAAAGTTTCTAAACACATAAGTATGTAGTTTTTTTATTTTCTAACATTTTTTATAAAATATTAGATAACTTTTTATGTCAAAATTTTGATATTCAATTGGAATAATAAGCCCTACTATGTTCCTAGAGTACATTGTTTTGTTATTTGAATTGGAAATATTCAAAATATTAAAATCGACTTTTTCGACTTTTTTCAACTACAAAAGTCGATCCGAGGCCTGTCACTGTATAATTTGATAAGTTTTTTTTTAAGCGTATGTCCATTGCACTTTAAGACGGTGATTCTTGTCACAGAAGTGAAGGTCAATCATTTAAAAAATTTTTGACATTCTTTTAAAGTTGTTAGAGTTTTTTTATGAAACATAGCTTTACTGTAAGTCTTTAAAAGCACTATATTTGTAAATTTTTGATCAAATTTATAAGACACAATGCTAATTTAATTGATAATATTTCGTTTTTTGTTAGAAAAAAGAAAATATCGTTTTTTTTTATTTTTATGAATTAACTGGATATTTTGAAAAATGATAATTTAACTAAATAAAAATTCTGATAAAGTAGAAATTCAAGTTAATTTTAATTCTATTAATCATAGCTTTTGCCTAAGTGACTCAAGCTAATGGCGACTGCTGTTAACCTACGAATTGTTATATCCAACTTTAAAACCTAAAAATCTCATGATTATACCATTTTTTACAAAAATTATTTACCAAATTTATAAAAAATTCCAAGAAGAGTCAAGTTTTTAAAGAAAAATTTCAAAGCAGTAAAAAGTTAAATTTTCATTTTTTTGAAGTCAAAGTCATGAAAATTCTAAATGTTATGACATATAAAAATATCTCCATCGAAAAATTAGTGGCATACTTCATAAATTTTGAGCCTTAAACCATGTTTTAACAATTATTTATAAAAATTAAACAAAATACCGAGAAGAGTCAATTTTTTAAAGCAAAATTTTAAAGCAGTAAAAAGTAAAATTTTTCAAATTCAAAGTCATGTATTTTCTAAAAATTTCCAAGAATATTATCACTGGAATGCAAAAAGAAAAATGTATTGTCTATAAATTTGATAAGTAAATTATTTCTTTTTTATGACAGCGTATGCCTTCAAAGGATTAAACTGCAGGCATTTGTTGAGTATAAATACAATCGAGTAACAAACAATTATTCACATTACTGCGAATTTTTAATTGCATTTCTTACATTTTATTTTTATTAAATAAACCATTTTATTAATGAGAAAAAAGTGCTAATACTAAATATCTAAGATTGAATCCAATTTGTTTAAAACAATATTATAGCTTAAAAGACAACATCAAATCAGTGGAAATATTAATAATATTGAGTAGTAATCTATTCAACATTTAAAAAAATGGCCCCTTTAAAATGTATTTTACTATTTCTTTTCTTTACTACTGATTTAGTAATTGGAGTGCGATATTCGAGCGGAGAAGTAAGTTTAACCAAATTAACATTTTATCATTCACTTTTCTATTTTATCTTCAATTTTTTTGTGAAACTTTAGTATTAACCATGGTAAGAAGCAAAACTATTTTTCAATGTTTATAAACTAGGGGCAAATTGTGACGAACCATAAATGAAGGAAAAAACAATTTTTTTCATATTTTCAAACTATGGGCAAAGTGTGGTTAACGATGAGATGAAGAAAAACTATTTTTTTTATATTTTCAAACTATGGGCAAAAAATGTCGAAGAAAGGAAACAAAAATTTTCTTCATAGTTTAAAAATGCAAAAAAAATAGTTATTCTTCTTCCCATGGTTTGTCATACTTTGCCTTTTAAGGCTACCTTAACGCTCAAACATTGTTTTAGGCCAATCTAAAGTAATAGACAAAGTTTCAGCTTCAAGCAAATCTTGAGCTTTAATTGAGCCTTGAGATAGTCAACATTTTGTTACGCGGGTTTCTTTGTGAATTTAAAGAAATTTACAAAAACTGATTACATTTAGGGTAGAATTGATCGTCGCATTAATAGGTTATTGGTACATCCACTTATAAAAAAATTGGTAGAAGAAGTGGAAAGATCTGGACTGGAACATGAAGGATTGTATCGCTTATCTGGTAGTAAAACTGAAGTACAAAAGTTGGAAAAAGATTGTCAATTTTTAGACACGGATATATCGCAATATGATGTAACTGCAATTACATCATATCTCAAAGAACTTTTCCGGTAAATTTTTATTCACAAAACATTTACTATAATGTAATGAGAGAGAAATTACGAAAAATAAAATTTTTTAGGAATTTGAGACCATCACTTATCGATGAAACAACATTCAATCAACTCTCAGATGCCTTGAAAATGGAAAATTCGGAAGACTTGAAAAATAAAATTACAGATATAATAATTAAACTTCCACAAGATATTCGAGATACTCTTGCTTACTTAATGGTACACTTGCAAAAAGTAGTAGAAAAGAAGGAGATAAATAGAATGAATCCTAAGAACATTGGTATAGTCTTTGGACCAACTTTGATGAATTCTCAGTATGATGACCTAATGGCAGCCGCTGCTTTAAATAACCAACAAACGAAGGCAGATAATTGTTTAATTTCAAAATTTGCAAATCATTAAGTTTTTAATTTTAGAATTAAATGACAATAGTTTTTTTTCTTTTCTTTCTATTGTAGATCATTGAGAAACTTTTGGAACTTCCATCAAGTTTCTGGAAGGAATTGATAAATTATGAATCGACTGTAAGTAATAATGGTGATCACTTTCCGGTGAATCTCGTAATAGTACTTCATAATTTACAGTTATATTTTTTCTCCTTCTTTAGAAAACTGAATCCAATGTTTCAATCTCAAAGGAAGACAAAGAAGGTGCTTGGGGTGGTGCTGCTTCTGCTGATGCTTCTGCTTCAGATGAGGTAATGATACACATATAATCAACAAAATGGGTGTTTGTAGGGTCATCAATTACGAGTTTAGACATTATTTTCCATTTTGAATTTAAATTTAAAATTCAAAATGCAGGATCCAAAGTAATTAATAATAATTTATTCTGTCTCCTGACTGTTTTCTTGAAAAGCATAAGACCTCGAAAAAAATACCAAGAAATTTCATAACATATATATATGCCAATAGAAAGCTTACCTTTTTCCCATGAGCCATGTAAAAATCAAAGTGGGACCTTGCTCCATATACCAGTACCTTTGGAAGTACGTATGGATTTTTTAATTGAATGTAAACTCTTATTTTTATAAACAATTTACTGCTTATTTTTTGACAAAAAATTAGAATTTACTCAAAAAGAGCACCATTTCTACAAAAATTTAAAAAAAATCATACGTACTTCTAAAAGTAATAGTGGGACAAAATTCGTAAAGTGGGCAACTAATTTTCAGTTGGTCAAGATTTTTTCATTAAATTTTTGTTTTTCTGTTTGAAATAATAAATAAAAAAGACAAGTTAAACAGTTTTGCAAAATTCGATTTTTTGTTGTACATATTGTTAAACAAACTTTTTTGCATAAATTTAGAAAAGTTTTTTTTTTTTTAATAAAGTAATAGGTAAAATTTAATGATTTTTGGTATGATTATTAGAATATAAAAATAACACGATTTTTTATTATCATTTTTCATTTTAAACTTAAAAGTAATTTGATAAAATTATAAACAATTTATTTAAACAAATGAAAATAAATGCAACTTCTCGATCTGTTACTTTATTTTTCAAAATTGAATATTGTTCCTTATTTAATGCCCAAGTATTGCCAAAAATAAAAATTGGTATTTTACATTTGTTCAAAAGACATAAATAATTATGTTAATAACAATAAGCATTAAAAAATCTTAAAATCTTAAAAATATTTTTTTTAGCTTCATTAATTAACAAAATTAATTAAAAAAACCTATTAAAATAATGTTTGAGTGTTTCTGATGTATGAAAAAAAGTATAACAATTTATTAAATTGTTTAAACAATTAATTGTTGTTATTTTTTTAAATCTGCACTTAGGGCTAGAAATTTCTACTTTTTTCACAACAATTGTGCAATTTGTCATGAAGTAAAACATCTGCTAATAATAAAAAAAGAAATTAATTGAACATTGTCTAAACAATTAATTGTTTTTACATTTTTCATAAATTGTACTTGGGATTAGAAATTTCTAGTTTTTTCTGTATTGTGCATTTTCTTGTAACTACCACATTTAAGTATCAAAGAAAAACAAAAAATTAAAATATTTAAACATTGTTTAAACAATTTATTCTATTAATTTTTCAATTTACTGTACTTAAAACTATAAATTCCTAGTATTTTCTTAATTGTGACATTTTTTATATAACTTAAACACTTAAGTATAATAGAAAAACTAAAAATTTATTATTTAGCCATTGTTTAAACAATTTATTAAAATTTATTTTATTATTTTTTTATTTAATTTTTCAGTTGTTTGTATTTAGAAAAAACTAGATATCTCTGGCCCTAAGTAGACTTTATGAGAAAAATAACAATTAATTGTTTAAACAATGTTTAATTAATTTATTTTTTTATTTTTTATCATTACCAGATGTTTTACTCTTGACAAATTGCACAATTATTGAGAAAAAAATAGAAATTTCTAGCCCTAAGTACAGATTAAAAAAAATAACAACAATTAATTGTTTAAATAATTTAATAAATTGTCATACTTTTTTCATACATCAAAAACACTCAAACATTCTTTTAATAAGTTTTTTGATTAATTTTCTTAATTAATAAAGCTAAAAAAAACATTTTTAAGATTTTATGATTTTTTAATGCTTATTGTTATTAACATAATTATAATTATATCTTTTGAACAAATGTAAGATACCAATTTTTTCTTTTTGGTAATACTTGGGCATTAAATAAGGAACAATATTCAATTTTGAAAAATAAACAAGCATATCGAGAAGTTGAATTTATTTTCATTTGTTTAAATAAATTGTTTATAATTTTATCAAATTACGTTAAAGTTTAAAATGAAAAATGTCAATCAAAAACCGTGTTATTTTTATATAATCATACAAAAAATCATTAAATTTTACCTATTACCTTATTAGAAAAAAAAACTTTTCTAAAATCATGCAAAAAAGTTTATTTAACAATAACTAAAACAAAAAATCGAATTTTGCAAAACTGGTCAACTTATATTTTTTATTTATTATATTAAACAGAAAATCATAAATTTCATGAAAAAATCTAGACTAACTGAAAATTAGTTGCCCACTTCACGAATTTTGACCCTAGTATATAGCATATGAAATTTCTTGGTTTTTTGTTCCAGGTCATCATGTTTTGATATCCTTTGCATGGTGTGGTCAAAAATTGATAGGTTTGGCTAGTTGAAATCATGCGCATAATTTGCGCCAATGTTGCGATTATTAGGTTCCAGTACCAGAAATGTGTTACTTCAAATGACAAATGAAGAAATTTCCAAAAGTTTTTGGGTGGGACAACATAACAGGGCGCTAGATAGGCAAATTTAAAGACTGTTATTTTAAATAAAACAAACTCCGGAACATGAAAAATGTTAAAACTCCAGTATGTTAATTAAAATAAAAACTAATGTTAAAACTCCAATATAAAAATTTAAAATAAAATATTTAAAATGGAAACTAATTCTAATTCCAATAATTTTTAGATGGGACAACATACGCTAGATAGGCAAAGTCGTGGACAGTTATTTTGAATAAAACAAACTCCGGCACATGAAAAATGTTAATTCTCCAGTATTTTAATTCAAATGAAACTCATTCTTATTCCAATGGTTTTTAGATGTTTCGGAGTTTGTTTTATTTAAAATAGCAGTTTTGACTTCGCCTCTCTAGAGCCCTGTTATGTTGTCCTGTCTAAAAACTAGTGGAATAAGAATGAGTTTCCATTATGACGGTTCTTTTAATAATAAATTAAAAGTTATGTAAAATTCAATAAATCATTTTCCCTTATTCGTCAAAAATCAAAATTCACACCAAACATGGCTGTCAGACGCCAGTTAATTTAATTGTTGAAAAACTAACAAAAACAATAATTCAATAATGATAAAAAAAATAAAACAACACTTCTCTATAAGTCAAAATAATGTCAAAGGAGATTCCGCTGAGAAAAGTTAAGAAGGGAAAGTATAACCTTTTTGAAACACGACTTTTAACCAATAATTTTACTGACTATTTTCTTATCAATTTATCCTTCTGCTATAGTCAGGAATTTAGACAAATGAATCTTCTTTAAAGAAAACACAACAGAAATACACTTTCAAAAATAACACTTTTATTCAAACTAAATAAACTCTCTTTTAAATACAATCTTCCACTCCCCTACAACCCATGTCTATTCTACGAGATCACAAATTATAATTATAAAATATCTATAATCCTAGTCTAAAATACGTCTTCTCTATTCAACATCCAAAATCCAACTAACTCAAAAATGTGCTTTCGTCGTCTGCTACATTTTTCGCGAAACGCCGGTATACACTTGTCAAAAAGGGGAATTTACATTTCTTTCTGCGCCTTGAAGGCAAAAGGACTAACGCGCTAAATCCAAAATCAAATAATTATTAATTGAAATTATAATAATAAAAAGAAAATAAATAATGAAAGAAAGCAAATAATGAACATATCATGACGAAACCACTTCGTCACACCATATGAATTAGCATACTGGAGTTTTAACCTGACTTTAACCTTGACTTTGCCTATCTAACGTATGTTGTCCCATCCCTGGTTAAAAAACCGGACATATTTCGGACTAATCCGAAATTTGTCCGAAACAATGCGGTTTATGGTCAGGTTTTTGTCACCCGAAATTAATCCGGAAAAATCCGAACTCTATACGGTTTGTGAACAACTAGTGAAACCGGAGTTGGTCCGATGAAGTCAGAAATTAATCAGTTAATTTTAACTAGTGAATCCGGAATTAGTCCGAAACAGTCAAAAATTAGTCCAGACAATTTAGTTAATGTTAATAGAAAAATAATTATACAAGTTACACATATTAATTATTATTACTTTATGGTACATTCAACATATTTTTTCGATTTACCTATCGCAATTTTATTTACATTAACTTAAAATTTCTAACGCTTGGTGATTCGAACCTACACCTATATAACATTATATCGCACCGAAATCGAATACACTAACCACTATACCACGCTCGCATGGGAGTTCAAATTCATAATAGAATTTATCAAGTACCACGAAAAGAAATGACAAGAAACTAGCACATCAGTGTTAATTTTAATATTGAAACAAGATAACTAATAATACTAGTAAATTTGGAAAAACAAATTGACTGCAGAATTAAATATTTTATTTACCATAAGTAAATACCCTGAATAAAAAGTGGGACCGATTTCGGATTAATCCGGAATTTGTCCGCAACACTACGGTTTATTGTGGAGTTTTTTTTACCATGAATTAAGTTTGAAATCAATACCGTTTTTTATAACTATTGAATCCGTAATTAGTCCGGTTTAGTCTGCAGTTAGTCAGATCATATACGACTAGTAAATGCAGAAGTAATCCGGTTGGTTTAACCAGTGAATCCGGAATTAGCCCGATTACGGACTTAATTCATAGACATTTAAGGTTACTCCAGATTGATTTAGGATTCACAATTTCACTCGGATTGATGCTAGATTAACGCGGATAATTTTCGTACAATTATCGGACTAATCCACACTAATATACCCGGATTTAATCCGGATTAGTCCGAAATTTTTATCAGGAATATAATATGATTCGGGTGGCCGTCTATTACCGGATTCTTAGCATACATATTTCGGATTGTTTCGTATTTGTTTCCGAATATCATTTTACCACACTAATTCCGAATTGAAGCGGACTAATGTCGGATTCTTTGTGTACAGATTTCGGATTATTTCGTATTTGTTTCGGATTATA